AAAAAAAAAAAAAAAAAAAGAATGTATCATCGAAAGGTACCATTATGAGGGTGAGAAGATTAGCCATAGAGAATTATATATATTCATCCAATATAGGGCTCATAACTAGAAATCAACATGTCAATAAGAAAAAGCAGATAGCCCAATAAGAAAAAAATGTGTAAAAGTCTTAACCAAGCTTTCATAAAAGAAGCTGTCAAAATTGCCAATGAACATGAAAAGGTGTTCAATTTCATTAGTCTTCAGAGAGCAGATTAAAACCTCATGAAATATTACTTATGTACACCAAAATGGCTATAATTTAAATGCCAGACAATATCAAGTGTTGGCAATAATATAAAAGCAGCTTAAATTCTCACACACATCTAGTTTATGTATAATTTGGTACAACGACTTTGGAAAACTGTCTGGTACTACATATTATAGTAAAACTACACACACACAAACCTATAACCCAGCATTTCTACTCAGATATTTACCCAACAGAAAATACATATATATATAGTTGTCAGAAGACATGCAAAAATTTTATAGCAGTGTTATTGGTAATAGCCAAGAACTGGATGCAACTTATATGCATCAATAGAAGGATGGATGCATAAATAAATAAATGTATTTTTTGTACAATGGAGATCTATACAGCAATAAAAATGAGCAAACTACAGCTGCACACAACAACACAGAGTACCTATTCTATGATTCTGCTTATGCAAAATAGTTAAAACAGACAAGCATGATCTATAGTGATAGAAATTATCTATTTTTATAAATTTAGGATCATATATAACTTCGCATTCTGCTTTTTTTCAGTTCACATTTTAATTTGAAGATTTCCCCATATCATTAAATATTCCTTGAAAACATAATTTTAAGGGCTATTTACTCAACTTAATATCATTAAAGGGTAAGTTAACACCACAAAAATATTAGTTATAATTGATATTGTAAGAATTCTAACCATAATTATAAATAAACTGTTATTGATTACCTTCCTGTATGTGGTCTTTAGTGCTGGATTTAAAAATTCCTTGCTTATGTTTAGTGAGGAACTCCATGACTGTTTAATAGGTGTGGGTAATGACATTAATTCTCCACTTTCTTCAAACCAACAATTTCCCTATCAAAAATATTTGAGAAATACAGTAATTAAATATTTCACTAAAAAAAGATCACATAGTATCTGTGAGCGGTTTAACATGGTAGCTGGCGCACTTGCCTTTTCTAATTTAAGCAGGCGATTTTCCATTTTGTTGCAGGTCTTTTTATATATTTTTGGCTTTCTCTGAATATAGAATCCTTCATCTTCCAAAATGCGTGGTATCATACCTTTTGGCAGTTTATGCTGGCTGTTCACTTAACAACAACAAAACTCAGATATTAAAGTCCAAAATATTAAACAGGTATTGACCAAATAAGAAGCACAAAGGTGCTGTCATTATACCCTATCACTAAAGTCCAGCAGAAAGCGTGTGAGCACACACACGTATATATGAGAAAAATAAGTTCTCTTAGTCAATTCCCCTAACTCAGAGAAGGCATGGAAAAACAAATATAGAAAACTTACTATAATTTGAGATAAGTACTTTTTATTCATCCAGCATATAAAGAAGCTATTATCCTATAAGATGATTCATTAATGACTCGACTATTTTATTGTAAAAGAACATTACCTGGAGAACTACTTGGCACAAAAATATTTGCCTGCTGTTTTTTTATTTGTTCTTGATCATCTTCATATTCAGCAGCTTTTACTTCAAGTAAATCTGTAAAAATGACTTTTTCCATAAAATCTTCATCTTGGCTCTCAGCAACATTTTGTAAATTAGCACCAAGTGAAAAGTGTTTGGAGTAACTATCATTTACTG